TTCACGGCTGTGGTGTGAGACACGGGAATTGGATAGAAAGGCGATATCATGGCAACGCGATTTTCATCGATTTTGACACTGTCAAAGACTGGCATTACAGACGGGCAGTGCTGTCCCTCATGAAGCAGTCTCGAAGCTTTCACTTCTGCCTCGATCGTTGCTGAATCTCCAATTTTTGCGCATTACAAATCGGAACCCCGAAGTTCGTATTGCAACACCGTGTTTCCTTGGCCGAACGCCATTGGAACCAATCCGTCAAAAACGTAGTCTGTCAGATACATGCATGAGCTTCGATTTCGTGGCAGTTTTCACCATGTTCTGGATTTTGCTGTAGAGAGAGTTGATGTCGCGATCCTTGAATTGACCAAAGGAGATCAGTACGGCATGTGACGAGAATGTCGTCAGCAGGCACGATGCCTCCGAATGTGTGAGCTCTTTCTTGACTACTCGTTCCATTTCTTCTGTGGCATTCTTATATACTATAGTGGCCATGGCAATACTCGTCGGCTTCTACGTAAGAATCTATCTTAATTTCGATCGACTTGTACTGTTGCTGTCGCTGCTTCTAGCTAGATTTGTTTGTTGTTGCTTACATGTTGCTGTGGTTGTTGTTGCCATTCATGTCTCCGTTTGTTTGCTCTGAGGAATATTCAGTCTCCACCGTGATTATAAGGCGTTTGCCGCTTCACTGGTTTAGTTTAGTTCCAGACGTGGATCATAGCTTTGACGGAACAGAGCGAGCTTGATACTCTTGCCCCTCGAGAACGTGATAACGTAGTGAAGCTTCGCGCGAAAAGGGCGCATGCACCTCTGCAGCCCCGATTCCTCACTTTTGTTCTTTTCTTGGATCAATCGATCTTCGTGAAGAATCGATCTTCGTGAAGAATTCTTTTGTATCGATCGATCTTTGTGAAGAATCCAAGAAAAGAAGAATACCGCTAGCTAGCTTGTATCAGTAGTAGACGTTTTGTTGAAAACAACGGCAAAGGTGACACACAGTTGCCATCGTCGCTGTTGAAAAAGCAGATTCGTCTTGCTGTTTTTGGTTTCCCCAGTTTCCCCGAACCAGGCAGGAAGCAGAGGTAATCACGTTTTGGAATTCCCCACAATCCCACCCCAGGGAGTTGAGGTAATTTTAAAAACAAGCAGCAAAGCTGGTAAAACCTTGCCACACTTGTCACGCTCACTGCACCCATACCAATCCAACGAAACTAGCCTCCAAGCAACCTCAAGACAGCAGTGAACATTTGGAGATCTCCCCAAGTACCCTCCAAGACCAACTGAAACCTCGCTTTTCAGTTGCGGTAGTGGCCCCAAGTTTGTGACTTGCATTCGCGGTGTTTGCGTTTATAACCGGCCAGGCCGTCGCGAAAGCTATCGCGAAATTTTTGCGACGATCATCATGTCAGATTCTGAAGACAAAAAGCCGGCGGCAAAAAGCCACAACAACGCTGTGGACGTAGCTGCAGAGGAAGATTCTACTCAGGAAGAAGACAACTACGCTAGTGCACAACACCAGCTGCAACAACAACAGCATCACGACCAGCAACAGCAAGTTCAACCAGCGCTCCAGCACCAGCAAGTGGCAGGAACAAACAACCCGCCTCACGCAGCACCCACTCGCCAAACTGGATCCATTGCAACTTGGTGCAATAGTGAGGTGTATGTTTCTCAGGATGAAGACAACATGGCAAGTATTGATCAAGATATGATCATGGACATGCTTCGAATCACATACACCATTGGACATGCTGATGGTGATGTACGTCACCAGTTGGCACAA